GTCAGCTAAGAACCAAGGGAGTCCCTGGCTGCATCCCACAGTTAACTGTCTTTTTGTCCACCTAGGAGAGCTGTGGCGTGACGGTGTGTGACGGGAAGGTGCACATCCTCGGTGGGCGGGACGAACATGGGGAAAGCACCAACAGCGTCTTCACCTTTGACCCCAGCAGTGGGCAGGTGGAGGCCCAGCCAGCGCTGCAGCGCTGCACCAGCTCGCATGGCTGTGTCACCATTGTCCAGAGCCTGAGCAGATGACTAGGACAGCCTGAACCAGGAGGCGGAGAAAACTTGGGCATGGCACTTGACTCCCCTCCTGGACCCTCCATGTGAATAGTCCTCTAACTTATTGCCCCTTTTCTCGGAGAAATAAAAGGTTGTTCAAAAGTCGGGTGTGTTCCAACACATGCCTGCTTTATCCAGAGAAGGTATTTTGCAGTTCGCCAGCACGGCTACACAACTGCAGGCCATGCAGACAGCCATACTCATCTTAGACGATCGGGAATTACTCCGTTCTGGACACGGGAGCGTGCAATTGGCACCAGGAGCAAGGTGCCAGCAGATTCCATCTGGTGACTCTCTGCTTTTTAAGTTCCCTTCAGCCTCCCCAAATGACACTAATCCCAGACGATTTACTCATCTACCCGAAGGAGCCTATTTCTTTTTAAAATTTATCCACTTACTACAGTGTGAGTGCATGATGTATGTACACATGTGCATGAAGTGCATGTAGAGGTCAGAGGACAACTTTGTGGAGTCTGTTCTATCTTACGTGGGTTCTGGGGATCTTAACTCACGTCTTCCGGCTGGCATGGCAAGCACTTTACCAGCTCCAGCCATGTCACCAGTCCTCATTCTTAATGCTATGATATGACGTTGTGTATTAGGACCCAACATAGCAATTTTGGAGGAACAGCTGCATTCAACTGTTAGCACACCCATTACCTCATTTCATTACTGGAGATACATATTTTACTTCTGTGTCACGGTACCTGTGTGGAGGTCAGAGATCAAATTGTGGACGTTGGTTCTCTCCATCTAACACATGGGTTCTAGGGACTAAACTCACTCACATCAGCAGGCTTAGCAGCAAGCGCCTTTATCCACTGAGCCACCTTGCCAGACCCAACATTTGTTTGTTTCAGGGTAGAAAGCACCACAGCCCTGGCCAAATCCCCAACATCAGTGTAAGACACACTCTGATGCCACTGTACACTTGGTATGGCCCAGGACTCCATAACAGTGACAAACTGCTGGATGGGAAACAGGAAAAACACACCCGGATGCAGAGGCTGTTTCCAGGGATGAGGCTTCAGTACTAAGTACTGGCTGGCCCCATCTGCAGATCCTCATTTGCACTCAGATTGCCTTTTGAAGAGGAGCCTGTCTCTTTCCAAATTGCTCCCATTCTCAAAGCCGCAGGGCCATGTCTGCAGGGTCTCTCCAGCTGGGGCTGGCCCATCCCAGCCAGGCACAAAGGCTCTGGTCCCAGCTGAGCTCCAATACCACAGATTAAGGAACTGTGGCCATCTGGACACAGCTGATAATGACAGCAGGGGAGGAGTACAGGCCAGCACCACAGCCTGCCTGTCCCCACCCTAAGGGGACACTTAGGACAAAGCAATGGCACCTATCATGTCTACCCAGGAACAATAGGAGCCCATCCAGGGCAAACTCTTCTAAAGGATGTCTCTCCCCTGGCTAGACACTTCATGAAGGCCAAGCAGTGATCCCAAGCTTCCCACTCAGATTCCCAAAGGACCCTGGTTTTTTTTATTTATTTTTTATTTTTTTCATTTTAACCACTTACTATAGTGAGTGCTGTTCTGTGCATGTGCTGCCTGCCAGGACACAGGCAAGTAAGACAAGAACACAGAACGGGACAGCCTAGATGAAAGTGAAGTAAGTAACCATTACAGCACCCTCCCACCTCCTTGTTGCATTTCTCAAGTATTGCACCATCCTTCAGAAGTCTGGAAACATCAGGTGGAATCACGCTTTCTCCTTTTACCCATGACAGGAAATCTCACTCATCAGACGGATGTAGGGGTACACAGCAGCACTTCAGTCCGGAGGGATGCTAGTAACACCAGTCACACTAGCAAGATGGCTCAGTGGGTAAAGGCATACCTTGCCATTCTAACAACCAGAGCTCAATCCCAGAGACCCACAGTGGAGGGCAAGGACTCCCAGAAGATGTCCTCTGCAAACTGGTGACTGGAGGGAAATGTGTTGACATTATTTTTACTAGAGATTGAACCCAGAACCTCAAGCATGCCAGGAGAGTGCCAAATTTTTAAGGCCACCTATCAGTCATTATAATTGATGTTTACAGACCTATGAATGAGTTTCAACTGTGGAACCAAGAAAATCAGTGTCTTCAGCAAAATTAGGAGTTATCTTTTCCCATAACTACTGTAATTTAAGTACAAAAGCAGTGAGTGGCTAGAGCCTATTTATTACAGACTTGAAATCTGGAATCAGTACTTTCAAGTTTGTTCCAACTTCAACTAATGAGCATTCCTTGCATCTGAGGGAGTGCTCACTTAGGACATAGTATTAGTTCTAGGCAAGCTTCAACCATGGAGACCCTGTCTCAAAAAAAGACCCCTAAACACACAAGGGGATAGGGGGTTATTCATTGTGCCGTGCATCGGTCTCTTGGTCAGCTGGGGGTGGGGTAGGCAAAAGATACATCCAAGTACTCAGGAGAGGCAGGATGGGGAGCTCCAGGCCAAAGCAAGCCACAGCCAGACCCTTACTCACCCTACACAGAAGGCTGTAAGAATGCATCCGACATACACCCCTCCCCTCAGTGGATGACTGCCCACTGTGAGCAGCTTTCGTTATTTCTGAGCTACCTGGGGCTGCAGCCTTATGTGTAATCAGGAAAGCTTAGGAGCAAAGGTTAAGTCACTTCCAACTTGGGATCTGACGTTAACTCCCCAACTGGAAGTGAAGATTTTGATGTAAACCTCAGAGGAATAAATACATTCCCGCAGACGGCAAAGGTTAGGCCTGCTGCTAGTAATGGAATGTGTCCAACGCAAAGATGTTATTAAATGTTGCTAATGGCCCCAAGGAGTTACAACCTCACTTTATACATATTACAGACTTGATGAAAAACAAAGGTGAGCTGTTTTCAGCATCAAAATCTAATAACCCTGAGGAAACCAGTCCTGAAAATAAGCAGAAGTAGGTGAACCAGTCAGAAATGGGACCCTGCCTGAAAACCAAAACCACATGGTCATGCTCCTGCTCACAGGACCATCCAGAACAAGTGCCTGAAATGCTTCAGTACTGATCTCACACTGCCAGCAGCTATATTTCCAGTGAGTTCTAAGGACAAGCTCTGTTTGCAGTTTTTCCTTCCCAGGCTACAGAGGGGGCAGACTTTGACAAAGCCCTTCCTCTCTGGCTGCTCTATGGCAATGCCGCTCTAGTGCCACCTACTGGGAAAGGAGCAAACACTAATTCACAGGCTAAACTTCCAAGTCTGCAAAAAACTCAGTAGGAATTTTAAAAGATCTAATAGGAAGTACACAACTGGGTGTGCCAGGACCAGACTCACTCAGCATGCTCAAGGCCCCCACACTTGATTGGCCCAATATTAGGGGAGGAGGGAGTTCAGTAACATTTCTAGCAAAGCTGCTGATGCTGAGTTTACTCACATGGATGCTAGTTCTTGTGGAGTGCAAAGCCACTGTATTTCCTCATCATCACCTTGCTACCTCCCTCTTGGCCTTCCTACTTTTCTAGGTTTGTGGTTATTTTGCCTGATTGTGTATGTGTACCATGTGTCTGTAGAGGCCATCAGATCCCCTGGGACTGATGTTAGGTGACTGTAAGTAGTAGTGAGTGCTGGGAATCTAACCTGTTTTCATTAAGTCTCACAAAATCAACTCAACTATAGCCCAGCAAATAATTAGTTGTGCCAGTGTCTAGAGAATTCAGATGCCAATTATTTGTCCTATATTCATGAGTTATGTAATCAACCAGTTGATGGCTGCACACTTTATTCACAATACACTAAGGCAGAGGCCAGCCAGGGCTACACAGTAAGACTATCTTTTTAAAACACGTACATCTGAGGGCTGAAGAGAGTGCAAGTTAAGAGTACTGGCTGCTCTTCCAGAGGTCCTGAGTTCAATTCCCAGCAACCACATGGTAGGTAATCAAACATCTTAAGATCTAGTGACCTTTTCTGGTGTGCAGGCAGAAGACTGTACATAATAAAGGTAAACCTGTACTCAACATGTATGGAACTAGGCTGGCATTAGGTTGTGGATATGGTCAGTGTGCTCCCAACTTACGGAACTTATTCAATTAAGTTCTTACTCTGTGCAAAGCTACATAGGTGAAGACAAGGAAATAAAGATACAGAGTGGTTCATGAAGGCTGCAGGCCTTTCGGCACTACTCAGGCGGCACCCCAGGCCCTTGACAGTGTTCTCATCAGAGAACAGAATTTCCAAGCTAACTTTAATCCTCCACAAAACATGCATCAATAGTAAATGCTTTTAAGACATTATGGCAAATAAGCTACTGATAATTTCTGAATTTACCACATTTTCTAAAACAATGGCTAAGTACAAGACTTAGAAATGTGGATTTTAACAAGCTTTACATTTCAAACTTCTGAGCTTTTAAGTCCAACGGCATCAGCCAATTTACTTTCTACGTGCATGTCAAGTGCATACATACCAATATCACAGGCCTTCATAAAAAGCATCTTTACCCATCAAAGATTTCTTACATAAACAGGGGGGAATATATCATACATGTAGCCCTCCAGGCTGGGAACATAGCTTAACAACACAATGTATGCTTACTATGTGCAAGGACCTGGGTTCCATCATTGAGCACCAAGACCAAACTGCTCTTCTAACCCTGAACAGGGTGTCAAGGTAGTGCCTTGAGCCACCAGCCCTCACAGACCCAAGACTTCTCTGCTCAAGCCCTCCAGCTTAAACCAGTGGGATAAACAACACTCCTCAGGCCAATGTAACTCAGTCACAGCTGAACACTGGACACAATCCAGTGAGGCTTTGTCTTTGTGCAAGATTTTATTAAATGTCTGTTTGTACAGGACAACATCCAGCCTCCAGATGCAACTGCCAAGACCCTGAAACCAAATAAAACAATGTAAGAAAAAACTCATTTGAGCGCTTTCAATTATTACATGGACGCACACTCCCATGCAGGGTTTTTACTTTAACTTAAACACATAGCAGCACAAAGGCTTTTTTACTGAAACCTTGACAAGGCCACTAAAGGGTATACTAAGTATCAACAAGAGTATCTGTAAACTCTTGAGCAAAGGCAGTGGAGGAAACACTGACAGATCTGTAGGGGTGGGCACCACATTCCAACCTGTACCCTCCCACACATGAAGCAAAAAAAACCCAAAAAAAACAAAAAACCTTATTCATACACTGAAACATCACAATAAAAAACCCCAGGAAGGTCACTGCAGACATACCTGTTATGCTGTAGGCACTGGCTGGGGCATGGCAGGTGGCTCTGGCTTCCCACCCTTCTGCTCTGAGATGGGGGTCGTGGGCAAGATTTCGTCTTTAGGTTCCACAATGCTCACGTGATCAGGCAGAGGCTTCTTGGGGCCGATCTTACCACTTGGGTCCCAGGGCAGCATGATCTTCACTTTGATGCCCAGCACACCTAAGAAACCAGAGCTAGAACTGAGCTGGGGTTTTACCAACTCCTCCCCAACAGGAAAACAGCAACACTTACTCAAAAGCACTGTGATCTGGCCCTTCTCAGACAAATGCCTCTAAATCAATCAATGAGCAGGACACTTTTGCCAAAGGAACCATGCACAGCGCCACAGAACATGGCACTGACAAGGACCAAGAGCAAGGCGTGACCTTTCTGACTCGTCATCGTGTCATCACCGAAGGGCACACAGAAAGGCTAAGACAACTCATCTCTTCACAGCCCCTGTAACCAACAGCCCCTTCCATAATAGACTACCCAAACAGGTCCATGGAAATACACCCAAATGCTCATCTGCCCTGGGCATTCCTAGCTACCCAGGCCCCCGGGTTCCCTTCCCAGCACAGCTGCTCACCTTGTCTCAGGAGCACATGGCGCACAGCAGTGTCAACATAGTAGTTAACAGGGTCTCCACTGTGGATCATCAGCCCATCCACAAACTTCATGGACTTGGCCCTCTGTCCTCGGAGCTTCCCAGACACCACGACCTCGCAGCCCTTGGCCCCACTCTCCATAATGAACCGAAGCACACCATAGCAGGCCCTTTGGAAGATGAGAGTCACTTGTTATTACCAAAGACACACTCTGCCTGTCCCTCCCACCAAGCTTAAAAACAAAACATTTGGGTTTCACTTTAGTAACTCTCAAATGGTAGCTTGGGGAAACAATCAGAGTTCAGCCAAAACAGCAACTCACTGCCTGGATGCTTTTCCACCCTGGCCTGTATGCTAGAATCACCTTTGAAGGATGAACTCTTTACACCCTCATGCCTGGGTCCTTTTCCAAGCCATTATCTGGGCTGGCCAAGCTCAAGCATAGGTTATTTTCTCACATCTTTTATTATTACTATGTGCACATGATATCTGAGGGCACGGAGGCCCGAGGACAACTATGGAGTCATGTTTCCTTCTTTACACAGGTTCAGAAAACTAAACTCTGGTTGTCAGGCTTGCCTTTGTCTGGTAACATGCCTTTGTCTGGTAACAAACACCTGCTGTCAGGAGAGACAATTCTTGGACACAAGGTCTCACTACATAGTCCTGGCTGGTCTGGAATTTGCAGAGATCCACCAGCCCCTGCCCTCAAGTGCTGGATTAAAAATACACAATACCGCCGGGCGGTGGTGGCGCACGCCTTTAATCCCAGCACTCGGGAGGCAGAGCCAGGCGGATCTCTGTGCGTTCGAGGCCAGCCTGGTCTCCAAAGCGAGTTCCAGGAAAGGCGCAAAGCTACACAGAGAAACCCTGTCTCGAAAAACCAAAAAAAAAAAAAAAAAAAAAAAAATACACAATACCACACCCGGCAGGAACAGGTTATTTTGAGAAGGGCTTGCCAGGTGGCTCCCAGGTGCCATCCTAGTTGAGAAGCACGAGAGCCCCTAACATACTTTTAGCCACCTTGATATCAGAGCACTAGAAACCCTTAGGCCTATAAAAAGCTAAGATTAAGAACAAAAAGACTGGCTGTGGTGGCACACACCTTTAATTCCGTCACTAGGGAGGCAGAAGGCAGATCTGAGCTGAAGCCAGCCTGAATTCCAGACAGTCACGGCTGTACAGAGAAACCCTGTCTCAAAAACAAAACAAAAATCTGTAAGCCAGGCAAAGAGGCCTTTCATCTTGGTGGACCATCTCCGAATTAGGTCAGCTAGGGTTACAGGGAGACCCTGTCTCTTCTCTCTCTCAAAAAAAAGAAAAAAGAAAAAAAAAGCCTTTTCATATTCTAATTCTCATAACCAAGGCTAGGTGGCACAACATTTTTGCTTTTTTTTTCTTTAGACCAAGTCAGACCATCTCAGGCAGGGTCCCAACTTACAGGGATAGCTTAGCTGAGACAAGGTCTCACCTCTGAGCTAATTTCTTACTCTGCAGCCTGTGAGACTGGCTTTGGATTCCCAAGATTCTTCACCTTCACAGTGCTGGGATTAGGGGTGGGCAATATCACGCCTGACCAATTTATAGCGATTTAATTAATTCCTTGGTTTTTAGTTCTTTCCCATCACAACTGTCATCTCTCTCTTGTTTTTTTGAGACAGAGTTTCTCTGATACAGTCCTGGCTCCTGGAACTCTGTAGACCAGGCTGGCCTTGAACTCAGAGATCTCCCGAGTGCTAGGATTAAAGGTGTGCGCCACCACTGCCCAGTCTGTTATCTCTTTATAGCCCCCACAAATATAAATGCATTAATAGATCCACATGACTTCTAACTTGTTGAAATGCGTGGTATCCCAGAAGCACTAAAGCCGTTATCCACTAACCACGAATACCTCACACAGGAGCAGCAACAGGATGCTTTTCTGCCCACCTATCAAGGGTCCTTTCTAAACTGCACAACATGTCCCCTCCCTGTATGATTTTACTCTTGTTCCATTTTCAGTGTCCCCAAGTATTCCCATTATTTGACCATTCTTCAAAGGCTCATACTACAACCCAGGCTGGCCTGCAACCAAGCAATCCTCTCCGTCTTCCAAGTGTTGGTATTACAGGCATGTGTCACCCACAACAGGCCCTCCACCAGGTCTTGTTGGCCTAACAGTTCAAGGGGGCATAAGCTATCTTACTGTTGCACCAGCAGAGACTAGATGATCCTGTCACTGAAGAGTTATCTGCTAACAAAAAGTCAGGCACACACTGATCCACAGAAGGGCAAGACCATCAAGTCTCAGAACACTTACCTTCGCACAGCAAGCCCTCCTAGGAGTTTGTAACGTAGAGACTCTGCCTGAGCAATGGCACACAGACCTCTTGTGGCTACCTTTTCTGCATAAAGCTTTAAAGGAAGCAAGAGACATATTTATTACTTTTCAATTAAGCCACTGTAATATCCCTTAACTATCGAGCATTCCTCATTGCCCTCCTCTGGCTCCCCACAACCACACTAGGAGAGCAATGGAATAACCAATCCACCTGTGTATCATTTCTATATGTAAATGTAATGTAAAACACTTTGGCCACCAGAATACTCCCACAAACTTAAGCATATCGTCCGTAGTTTTAGGCAGGGTCTCAATATGGCAGCCCTGACTGGCTCTGCACTAGCCACCATCCTGCCTTGTAGTTGCCATACTCGGCAATTACACTACTCTGACAGAGTATCAATCCACCTGTAATACTCAATGGCCATGTCAAAGGTTTCAGAAGTACCATTCTACAGAACCAACATCTAAATCCAGTCTACAACGACCCCTGGGATAAGCCAAGGGAACTCACCTCTACACTGCCCTCAGGGAAGCCGAACCTCTTCTGGACTACCGCAGTCAGCTCTCTGATCCGACGACCCTTCTCACCAAGAACATTCTGTGTTCTGCAGAGGGGAAAAGTTATAATTCACTCAACATCTCATGTGTCATCTATCACACAGCAAGAACTCACGTTAAATGAGAAGGATTTAGGTAAATTCTTTCCAAATGAGATTTTAAAAAAAGCAACTACATGCTGGGCGGTGTTGGCACACGCCTTTAATCCCAGCACTGGGAGGCAGAGGCAGGCGGATCTCTGTGAGTTCAAGGCCAGCCTGGTCTACAGAATGAGTTCCAAGACAGGCTCTGAGAAACTGCCTCAAACAAACAAAAAACAGAAACGAAACAAAACAAAACAAAAAACAACTACACTCACCAAGGCCAGGTTCATTGGCTGGCTACCCCATGTTTACAAAGCATCTTAGTACACACAGTGATTACAGGTGATAGTCCGTCAACTACATTTTTACCTGGTGGCTAAAATAATGATTTCTGTTCTGGTTGGTGTAACTCGGACTTCAACTCCAGAGTAGCCATCTTCAGCCAGTTCCCGAGTGAGAAACTCATTCAGTTCAGCTTTGAAGATGCCATCGGCCACAAACTAAACCAAAGAAGCAAGTTCAGAGTTAAGATGGGGTGGAGGCTTACTTAGTGCTACCTCAATGGCCCTGCAGGAAGGCAGCAACCCTTCTCAGACAAATGCCTTCAAGTCATCATCAGGAAGTTCCTCTGACCATAGCCACAGAACGCAGCACTGGGCAAAGATAACAGCTCCTCGTCAGACTCGTCATCACCTCTTCATTGAAGGGTTTTAAAACATAATTTACACACGCAAAACAAAAATCTATTCTCAAGTGGCACATCTGCAGTTCACTGAGCACAGCAAGGACACTGTGTAACGTCTACCTGGAGAAAGAGAGGGCGATCCTAACTCAAAAAGCATTGCGAACAACAACTTTATGATCTGCGTGCATTCAGCACAAACGCCGACAGGTCATCATCTATTTCTAAACCTGATGATCTTCACACAATTCTCCCCCACGGAATGACAAGTCTGGGACGCTTTTGCTGCAGCTCCCCAGAGAGAGCACGCCAATAGTGAGCAGCCTTTCCACTGAGGCGGCTTGCAGGATGACGGAAGGGAAGGCTCTGCTAAGCTTCACTTACCAAAGTCGCTGGATTAGCCCACACTCTCAAACTGTGCCATAAGGTTACTAGAGACGGCCAAAGGTGTCTAGTAAAGGCCCGAAGGCGCCGGTGCTCGGCTCGGCCCAGAACTTAAGAGTCTGTTCCTCCCTTCCCCAGCCACACTGCGCTATCCCGGAGCCGGCCCAGCACACAATCCACGTCCATCCACGGCCCCCAGAGACGCCGGGCGGCACGAGCCACCCCCCCAGGACGGACACGGAGCCGTGCGTCTCACTACGGCACCTCCAGAACGCGCCGCGAGTCCCCGGGCCGGGCCCAGAGGCTTACCTTCCTCTTCTTGGAAATCTGGACCGCCATCTTGCGCCGCGCGCCACCGAAAGGAAAGGAAGTAGCCCGCGGGCGGAAGTGGGTATAAAGGGCGCAGAGCGACGACGCGACGCTACGCGACGGCGACACTTGCAAGTGTTCATGGGAAATGAAGTTTTGTGTTCATAAAGGAGAAAAGAAGTGTAACCTAGCAACCTGTAGTGTAGGCGGAACAGGAAGTGCAAATCTAATTCTGGTCTGAAAAAAATCAGTGTACCCCAGTGTGGTGGAGCACTCCTGCGCTTCCAGCACTACAGAAGTGGAGGGTGGAGGATCAGAAATTCAAGATCATTCTCGCCTGCAAAGCGAGTTCGAACGAAGCTAGCTGGGCTGCAATGAGCCCCCAACTTAAAAATAAATAAAAACTTTGAGCAAACCAACCGTGAGGCAAGAGATGCAAACCACAGATATAAGCACACGCTACCAGAGTTTACCCAGCACGGAACTCTATTGTTTACACCTTCAGGCCCACACTAATGAAAGCTTTCATTGAAATTCATTTAAGAAACCAGCCAGATGGCTCAGTAGGTAAAGGCGTTTGATTTCGATCCCCTGCATCCGGAGGTCAAAGAGAACTGACTTCACAAAGTTGTCCTAGGACCTTTCCACGGATGCCCTCCCCCCACCCCAACTCCCAACCCCTGACACAATATTTAAAACAAATTTACTTAGCCACCCTCATCTCTAATCTGGAAATCCGTTTCTCTGTTCTAAATGATAATAGGTTAGTATCATTCTTTCAAGGGTCTGTTCTGCCTTTTTTTTTTTTTTTTTTTTTTGAGACTGGACTTCATCTGTAGCTGAGAAAGACCTTGAATGATTCTCCTGCATCCACCTCCCAAGCGGTGGGATTAGGAGTATACTCCATACCTAAACTATATTACTTTTCATTTACCAGTACCTCAGCTACATAAAGTCAATTCAAATTTGTAACAAAAATCAGAGCAGTGGCTTGTGTGTGTTCAAATTCTTTTTTAAGTGATTTTTTTTTTTCCAGCCAGGCATGGTGTTTCACACCTGTCATCTCAGCACTTGGGACATTGAAGCAGGAGGATTACCTGTTGGAGAACAGCCTGGGCTACAGAATGAGTGAGACTGTCAAAACACAAACAAACAAACAAAAGACCCTGGGTGCACATAGTGCACGTACATATTTGCAAGCACAGCACAACACCCATACATGCAGACACACACACACACACACACACACACACACACACACACACACGTCTTTTTTAAAACATTAAAATCCCTATGATGTTTATTACAAAGTTAAACCCTGACCCTCAAAATGGGCTTATCTGTAGCATTTCTGGTAGATAACACCTGCACCAAAACCTCTGAATTTGCCTGATGATAGCGCACGCCTTTAATTCCAGCACTCAGGAGCCAAAGCCAGGCAGATCTCTGTGAGTTTGAGGCCAGCCTGGTCTACAGAGCGAGATCCAGGACAGGCACCAAAACCACACAGAGAAACCCTGTCTCGAAAAAACAAAACAAAACAAAAACCTCTGAATTTTTTGTACTCACAGAGGGATGGGCTACCAGCAGGGGCCTGTCAAAGTAATAAACCAGCAGGGCTTTGGGGACAGACTGTTGGATAGTATAAGTCTGGACCACAGGACCCCCCTTCACAAGGACTCCAATGTCCACACCAAAAACCACTCCTTGCCCAGAAGCAAATTCGGCTGCACTAACTCGTACTGCAGTGTTCATGGCTCAGCCATCTCCAGAGGATTCCAATTCACCCTGTGCTAATCCCACCAAACTAAAGTAACGACCATTACCCAAATTCCTTTAGATGAATTAAGCAAGCTTTATTCTGTCAAACAGGGCTGTCTCCCTAAAATGGGGTTTGAGAGGACAGCATTGGACATAGGAGAAAGTGGGATTTAAATAGTTCAAAAATTGCAAGACTAGGGGGTTTTCAAGGGTTGGGGGATTTGCAGAGGCACTTTGGTAATGTAGGACCTTGACAGAACTCATCTCATCTTGTCAAGGTGAAGGTCAGGGTATAGGATATGGAATATGTCAAATTCCAGAAAATGAGTCAAGACATGGTCAAACCCAAGTTTTACAGAAAACAGGAATGACCTCATTTGACCTGTGACAAGATGGCTTCTGATTTTAGGATGGAGTCAGGCTGATGAAGCCGTTTCCCAGTCTGCAGTGCACCGTGGCTAGGTTGTCTTCTTGTGGCATCTCCTTGCAACCAAATACCTGAACCAGCTGCAGTAGATCCTTTGGCCTTGGGGCTGTGGCTTGAACTCAAGCTCTACACTTCGAGATGCCACCACCAGAAAAAATCAAAACAAAAATCTTTATTTTTTCTTTTCGAGACAGAGTTTCTCTAGGTAGCAGCCCTAGCTGTCCTGGAACTGGCTCTGTGGACCAGGCTGGCCTTGAACTCAGAGAGATCCACCTGCCTTTGCCTCCCTAGTGCTGGGATTAAAGGTGTGTACTGCCACCGCCGGACAAAAATCTTTTTAAAAAGGAATGTTCTACCAGGCAGTGGTGGCATACGCCTTTAATCCCAGCATAGAGAGACAAAGGCAGGTGGATCTCTCTGAGTTCGAGGCCAGCCTGGTCCACAGAGCACGTTCCAGGACAGCTAAGGCTATACAGAGAAACCCTGTCTAGAAAAAGAAAGAAAGAAAGAAAGAGAGAGAGAGAGAGAGAGAGAGAGAGAGAGAGAGAGAGAGAGAGAGAGAGAAAGAAAGAAAGAAAGAAAGAAAGAAAGAAAGAAAGAAAAAGAAAATATAAAAAAAACTTTGAACCTCTGAACTGGGCAAGGTGGTTCATGCCTGTAATCCTGAAGTAGAATACAGTAGAAGGGCTGGAGAGATGGCTCAGCCGTTAAAGGCTAGGCTCACAACCAAAAATATAAGAATACAGTAGAAAAGACCAATTATTAGATATTGGTTTATTGATATGTTTAGTGATTTACTTAAAGCACTCCTTGTACTCCCATACTTGCCAAGTATGACTTCACTTGCTACCTGGAACAGAATGACCTGGAGAAATAGCTGAAACAGTTTGTCATTGCCCCTAACAACCTGCTGACTGCCATGGATGCTTCTGTAAAATCTTGCTTGCTTACCTGGCCCACCTGTGTTACAGGGTACAAAATGAGAATGCAAACTGAACCTGGAATCTAAGCCTTTCCGGATCTGTCCTGGCTTCGGTCCACTGGTATATCTCTCTTCTACTCTCATTAGTGTCAGAATGCTTATTCCAGAAAGGTTCTCAAACAGTCCAAGATTTGGGAGGTACAGCCAGGAGGATCTGAGTTTTATCCCCAGCTACATATTGAATTCAAAGTCAGGCAGGGCCATATGAGACTGTGCCTCAAATGTAAAATAAAATAAAATAAAACAATAAAAGAGAGAGCTCGAGCCATGTATGGTGGAGAATGCCTTTAATCCCAGCATTCAAGAAGCAGGGGGATCTCTGTGAGTTCAAGGCCATTTTGGTCTACATATTGAATTCCAAGACAGCAAGAGCTACATAGTGAGACCCTGTCTCAAAAAACAAACACACACACACACACACACACACACACACAGAGAGAGAGAGAGAGAGAGAGAGAGAGAGAGAGAGAGAGAGAGAGAGAGAGAGAGAGAAGAAACTTGAACCCCTTCTCAAATAGATGATCCAGGCAAAAACTGCTCCCAACCTATAATCCTGCATGCCCATTCCCCTCTCCCAGTTTAATAAAGAAACTCTTGAACATTATGCAGAGCTCTGGAATCCTGAAGAAGGGGAATGGGGGAGGAAGGATTGTAGGAGCCAGAGGGTCAAGGACATTACGAGAAAAATGCCCACAGAATCACATAACCAGGGCTCATAGGGGTTCGCAGAGACTGAACCAACAATCAGGGAACCTGTACAGGCCTGACCTAGGCCCTCTGCGTATATGTTATGGTTGTGTAGCTTGATGTTCTTGTGGGACTCCTAACAGTGTGAGTGGGGTGTCTCGGACTTTTTTGCCTGCTTTCGGAAACTTTTTCCTCCTACTGAATTGCTTCGTCCAACCTTAATATGAGGGGATGTGCCTAATCTTGTTGTAACTTCATATGCCACGTTTGGTTCATAACCCTGGGGGGCCTGCCCTTTTCTGAAGGGAAGTGGAGGAGCCGTGGGGGACAGGGGAGATGGGAGGGAGTCCTGGGAGGAGAGGAGAGAGAGAAAAACTGTGGTCAGTCGGGATGTAATATATGAGAGAGTAAATAAAAAGGAGCTCTCCTCCTACTCACAGTCACCCCCTCTCTGTGTTCTGGCTCGCGTTCGTTCACCGTTGCTCGGAGGCCTTGTTCTAGCTCATTCTCTCCCATCCTTTGCTCTTCCTTATTCTGGCTCCCACGATCAACGTGCCACTCTTGGTTGTGCCTCTTCCAGCTGTTTCCATGGCATTCCGTGTGCCCTCACTGTACCACTGCAGCTTTCACGGGGTGACCAGAGCAGAGCTAAGTGTTCATATGTGTTTGGCCCCCACCCTGCTCTCCGCAAGACTCTTGAATAAGCAAATTACTTTATCTGAGGCTCACTAAAGAACCAGGGATGCTTGCCTAACCTGGAGGAAGGCCTGAACCATGGAGGGATCATCTGTCCCCCGAGAGCACCTAATGCCCACGACCAGACACCATGACGTCATATATTCTCATTGATTACATTAAAATTGATCAGTGACTCACTCGGAGCCTCCAGTTGAGTCCCTGCTCATGAATAAAAGAACATCATGGAATGAAATTGAAAAGACACTGCTTTACTGTTGTGTATCATTGCTAAAAGACTAACAATTCTGAGTCTGTCCCAGTAAAAATGAGCTCCAGGGTGAGGAAGACAACACCTTTCTACTGTCAGTGGGGTGTAAATTGATACTGCCTTTTCGAAGGGCACCTTGGGAGTTTCCACAAGAATCTAACCCTTAGATGCCTTTTGGCCCAATGAAATAAACACATTCTGTTTTTCTTTCTCATGATGCTTATGCCTCCATCTCTCCAGTGCTGAAATTGTTGGCAAGCACCACCAAGCCTGGCTCTAAGGAGCATCGAAAACTGATCCTGTGAGGTTGGCAAGATGGTTCAGCT